TGCATGGCTGTCTGCAAGCGTTTAAGACCCCAGGCACTACTCAATGAACTAGGAGGTAGAATAGAAGCATTAAACACGGCATTAGGCCAATTAACTGGGATGTCCTATGAAGCCATGACCCTAAACGTCCAACGAAGGAGACAAAACCCATGATATTTTTGGTTGTACATAAGCAGCCTCAGCAGCTACTCTTTGTGTTGTTGTTTTAAATATATCTATCACACAACGTTTGCCAATTCACCTTTTTACATATGTACAACTTGTTGACAACAATTACAATAATCGGCTGTGCAACCCTACCCTTAATCAATGTAGTTTTCTTTTGCCTAATCGTTATTGCCGATTTTTTATTATCTTAAGTAAAACTGTAGTCCAAATTCTTGAAGGGACTGAGGTTCGCATTTGTAACAATATATAGATAACAAAAAATAGAAACTTTAAATGCATATTTCCTTCCAAAGGTTCGTAGATGTGCAAGTGTGGTGAGGATGTAGAGCAACTAGAACTCATATATTGCTGGCAGGAATGTAAAATGGTCAACCACTTGGAAAAAGAGCTGGATAATTTTTATATACATACAAATATATATATATATACACACACACACACACACTATATGATGACCCAGTTTTCCTCTCTTGCTATTTACTCAAGAAAAATGATGGACGCATAGGTCCTCACAAAGTCTTGCTTATAGCAGCACAAATTCAGGAAGCTCAGAGAACACCAAGCTGGATAAAAACCAAAATTTCTGCATCTAGGAATATCATACTTAAACTTCAAGAAGCACAAGAAGTCAGAGGAGTAAAACACCTTACCTATAGAGAAACATGGGTAAGAATTAGCTCTAACTTTTTTTTCAGAAACCATGCAAGCAAGAAGAAAGTGGAGTAAAATATTAAAGGGTTGAAAGGAGAAAGGAAAAATACCAAAGCAGAATTCTATATCCAGCGAAATTATCCTTCAAAAGTCAAAGAGAAATAAAGACTTTCTCAGACAAACAAAAACTAATGGATTGCCAGGAGACCTGCCCTGCAAGAAATATCAAAAGAAGTTCTTCAAGGAAAAGGAAAATTATGTAGGTTGGAACTCGGCTCTAAGTAAACAAAGGGAGCGTGTCAGAAAAGGAATAAAATATTTTATTTTTTTATTCTTAAATTATCTAATAAATAGCTGTTTGGTCAAAGTAATAATAGTTGCAATATATTGAATGTTTTAGCATGTGGATAAGTGAAATAAATGACAGCAATGTTATAAAGACAGGAGGGAGAAATTGGGAATACTCCTTTACAATGTACCTGCACTGCCCATACAGCAGTATAGCATTATTTGAAAGTGGACTTAGATTTGTTGTAAATGTTTATTGCAGACTCTAGGGCAACCACTAAATAAGTTTTAAAAAGAAGTATAATTAATATGCTAAGTGAGCAGAGAAAATGGAATAATATAAAATGTCCGATTAAAATCAGAGAAGGAAAAAAAGAAAGAACAAGTTCAAGGAATCAAAAACAGTTATAAGCAGGATAATAAACAAATTGTAGTATATCCAGAGAAGAAATTTCCATTTAGCAACATCTCAAAACAATGATGCTAAGTCAAGGAAGCCAGCCAGAAAAAGAAATATACTTTATATTTCTACCTGAATAAAATTCTCTAAAATGCAAACTAATCTATATGGGCAGACAACAGATCAGTCGTTTCCTGGGGACCAGAGAGGGGAGGCAAGGAAGGGCATGAAGAGGGATTACAAAGGGGCGTGAAGAAACTATCGAGGGTGATGGACATGTCCATTATCTTGATTGAGGTGATGGTTTCATGGGTGTATATGTATGTCAAAATACATCAAATTGTATGCTTTAAATGAGTTCAATTTACTGTTGTGGTTATACCTCAACCACCTTCGATATTCAAATATCTCCATGTTTTAAAAAATGTGCTTACATGAGAAGAGACAGTGATATGTGAAAAAAGCAGTGGGCACAGAGGTCTGGGAGGTATGCATTTAAATTCATGATGTACTAGTTCCATGATCTTAGGCAACTTAATCAAATGATGTATTTGCATTGGGCAAATCTGCTGCAAAAGACCTCTTTAAAGTGTTAAAAAGCAAAGATGTCATTTTGAGGACTAAGGTGCGCCTTACTCAAGCCATGGTAGTTTCAATTACCTCACAGGTGTGTGAAAAGTGGACAATGAATAAGGAAGACCTAAGAAGAATTGATGGTCTTTGAATTATGGTATTGGAGAAAAATGTTGAAAACGCCATGGACTGCCAGAAGAACAAACAAATCTGTCTTGGAAGAAGTGCAGCCAGAATGCTCCCTAGAAGCGAGGATGGCGAGACTTCTTCTCACGTACTTTGGACATGTTATCAGGAGGGACCAGTCCCTGTAGAAGAATATCATGCTTGGTAAAGTAGAGGGTCAGTTAAAAAGAGAAATACCCTTAACGAGATGGATTGACCCAGTGACTGCAACAATTGGCTCAGACATAGCAACAACTATGAGGATGGTGTAGGACCGGGCAGTGTTTTGTTCTGTTGTACGTGGGGTCGCTATGAGTTGGAACCCACTCAATGGCACCTAACAACAACAGGCAACTTAAGTAACTTTTCTGAATGTAAGAGTCTGTCTCCTTAAATAGGTATTGTATCATTTAGGATTGTGTTTATATATATTCAAAAACTTGGCAGTGGGTATCACAAGTAACGGATAGACCTGAACATGGACATGAAGTTTGGGTGTAGGCCATCCAGAGCTGGCACGGAGGATCAGTCATGGCATTGAAGAACCAAGACCCTTCTGCCTTCCTTAGTGATGGCCGCCATTCTTCAAGCAACCTGTGCACTCCAGCAGGAAGAAGGAGGCAGGGGAAGAGGCTGCACCAGCAAACTTCTTCCTGTGGTTCATTGGTTATGGCCGAGTCATGTGGCTATCCCTAGCCATAAAAGGGCCTGGGAAGGCAAGTTTTTGTTTTCTATCCTCTATAGCAGAGGATAGAAAGCAATAAGGAGTTGGACTGGGTGTGGAAGGAGCCAACCTACAGTACCTACTCCAGGTACAATGAGATTTAACTAGCTCACACAGTGTTGAGAAAATTTAAGAATGCAAAAGATAAAAGTTTACCTTGGAAACCATAAAATGCAAAAACAAAAACAAAAACAAAAAAAAACTTTATTTGCTCCCTAATGGTCCAGAAGGCCTAATCTAGGCAGAGTTTGGCATCCTCTCAAGTTAAGTCCATAGCCATCATAAAAAACCAAAACAAAACCCACTGCCATTGAGTCCATTCCGACTCATAGCGACCCTACAGGACAGAGTAGAACTGCCCCATAGGATTTCCAAGGAGCGGCTGGTGGATCCGACCTGCTAACCTGGTGGTTAGCAGCCAAGCTCTTAACTGTGCTGCTAAGTCTCCACCAATGGATAAAACTATCAATGAGTTTTGTGAAAGCTGAAACCACTGCTGAATCCAGACTGATAATGTAGTCATATTTAATACCATATCATATATATTTAAGTATTTTCAATGCTTAGTTAAGCCATATTCTCCTCCCATGTGCATAAGAAGAAATATGCCTAGGTGGCAGTGAATGTGAGGGATGAAGGAAAATTATCCTTTAAAACATAGTACATCTATCATTATTATTATTATTGTCGGCCAAAGGTAGGACAACATTGTATGTCTACTCTGGGCTCCCTGCCCTGGCAGATTAGCTTACCTGGTGCTGGTAAGACTGGCACCCCTGTTTCTATGACTGAGTCCAGTTAGCTTCCTCCTCAGGCAGAGTCTTAAACGCACCAGCTCATCTCAATGCCTGAAGTCACTTGCATGATATAATGAATTACTCTTTCAACCAATTTGCTTTTCCCACTAGGGGATGAGGAATGTGAAGAGACAGCAACCTCTGAGTCACCTGTTTCAGACAGAAGTTGAAGTTACAGAGTCTTACAGCGCTAATGAGATGACCGCTTTAGATTGTGGTACTACTTGGGTAGACTGTGAGTAAAACACTAAAGCCTAGGTTTGATACTGACTGTCTTAGTTATCTAAGTGCTGCTATAAGAGAAATACCACAAGTGGATGGCTTTAACAAACAGAAATTTATTCTCTCAGTCTAGGAGGCTAGAAGTCCGAATTCAGGGCGCCAGCTCCCGGGGAAGGCTTTCTCTGTCGGCTCCGGGACAAGGTCCTTGTCATCAATCTTCCCCTGGTCTAGGAGCTTCTCAGCACAGGGACCCCGGGTCCAAAGGATGTGCTCCGCTCCTGGCACTTCTTTCTTGGTGGCATGAGGACCTTCTCCTCTCCGCTTGATTCTCTCTTTTATATCTCAAAAGAGATTGACTCAAATGAAGAAAACCAAAGACACAAGGGAAAGATTAGTCCAAAGGACTAATGTACCACAACTACCACGGCCTCCACCAGACTGAGTCCAGCACAACTAGATGGTGCCCAGCTACCACCACTGACTGCTCTGACAGGGATCACAGTAGAGGGTTCCAGACAGAGCTGGAGAAAAATGTAGAACAAAATTCTAACTCACAAAAAAAGATCACACTTACTGGTCTGACGGAGACTGGAGAAATCCCAGAGTGTGGCCCCTGGACACCCTTTTAATTCAGTACTGAAGTCACCCCTGAGGTTCACCCTTCAGCCAAAGATTGGACAGGCCCATAAAATGAAATGAGACTAAATGGGCACACTAGCCCAGGGGCAAGGACGAGAAGGCAGGAGGGACAGGAATGCTGGTAATGGGGCACCCAAGGTCGAGAAGGGCAGTGTTGACATGTCATGAGGTTGGCAACCAATGTCACAAAACAATATGCATATTAATTGCTCAATAAAAAACTAATTTGCTCTGTGAACTTTCATCTAAAGCACAATAATAAATAAATAAATAAAGAGATTGACTCAAGATACAATCTAATCCTGTAGATTGAGTCCTGCCTCATTAACATAACTGCCTCTAATCCTGCTTCGTCAATATCATAGAGGTTAGGATTTACAACACATAGAATAATCACATCAGATCACAAAATGGTGGACAACCACACAATACTGGGAATCATGGCCTAGCCAAGTTGACACACATTTTTGGGGGACACAATTCAATCCCCAACACTGACTGCCCCTTTTTTGTGCCTCAGTATCCTCATCTGTAAAATGGGGATAGGAGTACCTACTCTTAAGGGTTATTTTATAAATTACATAGGTTAATACTTGTAAAGCTATATAATTATTATTTAAACTTAGAACATTAAAATAGTTCCAATTTCTCCAATGCTTTTTCAGCAAGATGTAGTCAAGAGTATCTGATGGAAGTCTCTACTAACCATTTACTGTTGACCTTGGACAAGCCACGTCACTTCCCTTTCTTGGCCTCACTTTCTTATTCAGGGTCTCAGATAATGCTTCAAAAGGTAGTCTCTAAGAGAGTTTCTAAGAGATGTTGTGGAATGAATAAACTTCAAAATGAGGAGGTTGGAGTAAAATAGATGCCAAGTGGCCCTTCAGTTCTAGCCCTTCATGTAATCATTTCCCGGTAAGGGTGTGTGAAACAAAGCATGTGTGATCGGCTAGAGGCATCTGGGAACACTACCGCTGAACACCATTCCATTTGCGGAGGAAGAATTTAGAGGGTATCTACGCAAAAATTTACATCCTTTACTCTGACAATTAAGCCAGTATCAGCTCTGCCAGTATTGGACTAAAAGAAAAGCTGGGTAGAAAAGAAAAGTCTATTTCGGACAAAGCAGCTGTCGGTGCCCGAGGGTGCCCTCAGAGGAGCAGGAGGGAGCCCAGCAGCAGCTCGCCCTGGCCCAGCAGGCGGCCCCGCTCCAGCCCACGGCCCTTGTTCCCGGCCTTGACGCGCACGGCCAGGCGGCGCACCTCGTCCTCCGTGAGCCCGTCGAAGCAGAAATCCTGGTCGAAGACAGGGTTGCGGCTGCGGCGGACCACGGCGCTGCGCTGCCTGCGCGTCTGGCCCCGCGGCCGCAGCACGAAGCTGACGCGGCAGCCGACGGCGCGGGGCTCGG